GGCTTCAGCCAGGTGGGAGGGAAATTTAGGGCAGAAAAGACAGGGAGGGGAGCAAGAGGGTATGGTGAGTGAATCCCTGGCAACGTGGTTCCATCAGCCCAAGCCTTCACAGCCATATGGGGACACGCATCAGAGGCCACAGGAGCATTTGCGGAGCAGATGTTGGTGGAGGATTTCTGACCCCGGTGGAGCTCCCTGCCCACAGTTCAGTCTCTGTTCTGGGACGAGGGTTTACCCTCATGTGTTTCACTATTTAGTGAAGCTAAAACATATTGCGTGCTTGTCTCCTGGTATCTACGCTGAAATTCCCTTGGCTTCCTCTGCTGGCACCGCTGCCAAAAGGGATTCAGTCTCAGGCCCTGAGAGCATTCAGAGTTCCTGAAAAGAGAGTCAAAGGAGTCACTTCTGCATAAGGTCATCCTGGGATTTAGACCTATTTTTATTGCTGTACACCATGCTCTGTTCCATACAGAAACTCTTTTCAATTCTCTGGTGCTGATACTACCAGAAGAGACTTCCCAGCATAATTAGCTGCTCGACGCACCTAGCTCCTCTTCATAGATTTGGAAATCTGCCATTTAATGTGCAACCGTAGAGTGCCTTGTTTACTATAAAATTCAGTTATCTTTGCAAAGGGTTTTTCTCTCTAAAACCTCTTAAAAGGATGTGATGTACAGCATACCAAATACAAAGTGAAGCAAAGGTGCTTTTTCTGAATGCATCCACATATTTGTCAACCTGAAAAAAGTTGTAAAAAGTGATCTGCATGCTCTTCATCCTGAAATTTTCTGGCACATGGCTGAGAGAGAGTTGTGATGATTTAACTGTGCTTTAGTTGAGATTTAATGGTGATGTACTTGTGATGATTTAATTTTACTGTGATAGTTTAATCACCTGATATCTGATAAATTCTGTCTATATTTTCAATGCAGTGACATGTAACATCACATCTCATCTTTCATGGCAGATGTACAGCACCAACCAAAGTGTGTTAGATCATACTGTATCATAAACCATATATTGGGATGAAGCCATGGCCTTTGCACTGCAAAGCTCCACTGCTGAGACAGTTACTCATAGACCCACAGACTAGACAGAAAGCTGAGTTGCCAACAGCAACTCAACTGCCAGTGATCCAGCTAAGGGTCACTGGAGCTTAGGAAAAAATCTTTTCCACCTGCCATACCTCATTAGGCAGATCTTTGGGAACGGTGTAGAAGTTCTCTTTTGCAATCAAAGCCCACCATTACAGGAAAATTCTTCAGTGATCAGAGTAAGCACGGTCATTTTCTCCAGGTAAAATAACAAGGAGAGATCAAAGCACATCAGGCCTAAAACCTAATTACAAAAAAAATAGGAAAATGAATTGAGGATTCCATTACAACGCTTATAAGGAAGACGTCTCTGCATGCATGCTTGGCAAAGTTACCTTTCAATAGCATAGCTACTGCATCCTTCAAGTTGTCCCTAAGGAAACCTGCACTGTGCGTATCTGCAGAGGTGGATTAGCATTGTCATTCCTTACTTCATTTGCTGCATCAGATCTTAAGAGGGCAGTGTTTTTCACTCAAAGGAAAATGTGTAGTTGATCAAGATTAAGTACCAGATAAGCTATAGAGAGGCATGCATATCAAATGTCAATTTGTAGAAAGATTGTCTGAGTTCTCTGGAAATAGAAAACAAAACAAATAGCTCTCCATATATGCATATGTTTATGTGTATGTATATGTATTTGTATATGTATATGTCTCCATGGCCATAAAGAAAATGTATTTTACTAAAATGACGGATTATATATACTTTGGTAATTAGAGCAATGCCACAGACAGAGTTTAAGTCATGTTTGGAAACACATTTAATAATTGTATGGTGTCTAGGGCGTTCACTGTGCAGTAAGGAAATTCTTAGCATTTTAAACTACATTTTAAATCTATGCAGCAGAGGGCACTAGTGCTATTGAATTGACCATAGAGTTGATATTTTGGTATTAGAAAAAGGAAGGGAAAAAAAATTGCTTAGAAGACAAAGAGTTGTCAACAAAGACTAAAGAATCTGGTTGATGGTCGGTGTTCCATGTGTAGATTTATAAAGCTAAACCTTCATGTGTCTCTAGCATAATAGACAGATACTGAATAGCAAATTACTCTAGTACAGAGTTCCAGATGGATCTTTATGTAAAGCCCATTAAAATATTTCCATAATGTTCTTCAAGGCTTTAAGTGAATTTTCCACTGTGGTTTTGTGTTGGCTATTTTTTTTTTCCAGAGTTTTTCCAGAGTGTTTATGATTTAAAGTTACCCTTATGTGAAATGACTGCACCAAGGCTTCCCGAATACTTAAGCTCCGAGTTGTGGAAAACCACTAGTACAAAAGAAAGGACCTTTTTAATACATTCTTACTGCCACTAGGAATTTCACTGCAGTATGTTAGCCTCACAAAAAGCTCACCAGTTGCAAGGCATTGCCTAGCATTTCTTCTGCTGGTCATGGTGACTTTTTTGAATCGTCAGCTCCCCTGTACTTGCAGCACCAAGCCCAGTTAGTGTGCTTTTTATGCTAAACACTGCATTTTACTTCTTGTATTACCAGACAAGAGGGAAAAATGTTAGTAATGTAAATAAATCCAAAGTTAAAGCAAATGCGGCTACAGAAGCTAAGATTTTCTCTCATGACTCCCAGAAAAAGTTCCAGAGAAATGTCAGAGTACTTATATGTTAAAAGATACAGGATAAGAGACAGCTCTGAAGCTGGGCATAGGGGGCTGAGTTCTTATCTCAGTTCCAGTGAAGACAATAACATCACATCAGTGCAATGGTAAAATTTTTGGTGTAGTCTGTTTCTGTAGCTGTTTTATTACTTGTTAATGACATTCATTGTTCAGTCCAAGTTCTTGGGGGATAAGTTTTAGAAGAATTTAAAAAATAAGAAAGACAAATCTACTGAATAAAAAACCAAACCAAAACAAAACAACTAGTGACAGACAAAAATGCTAAAACAAACACATTAACTATCACAGAAGATGGTTAATGACTATCAACAGCAAAATTCATGGATCATGAAATGGAGCCTGAAATTGGTATTAGATTAATTGATATAATTTTTTTGACCACATCGGTCAGATTCTTCTTCATGATAGTGCAAGAAGGATGGGAACCAGGTCCTTTTCACCCCCTTTTTGCAGGTAGTTTTGCTACAGTTGGATTTTTGATGTAAGGGAACTTGAATTTTAGTGATTAGTTTGAGAGTGTTTCTCCATATATTGTGTTCAGCATCTCTGAAGAGATAAGTGACCTTGTAAACCTGCAGTAAAAAGGAAGGAGTATACAGCAGCTGCCCCTCGTCTAGTCCAGGAATTGTCCTAAACCCATGAAGCTGATGTTGAGCAGCGCAGTTGTTGGCAGAGGAAGGGGATGAAGAGGTGGGAGCAGTAACATCTAACCACAGGGTCTCCAGAGCCATATGACAGAAATGTAAGCCACAGAGAGAGAAGTTGTGTGACTTGCTCAAGGTTGCAAAACACATTAGTTTCATGAATCTTTCATAACAAGAATGATATTTTATAAATAACACTTACAGAGCAGATCAAACAGATACAGCCTAGATTTTCCAGTTCCCATTCACAGGTTTTTAGCCATTGTAATGGCTTTCTCTGCAGTAAATTATTAAAAGTGAGATGAGAATACTTGCTACCTCTGAACCATTATAACAAGTTTTTAAAAAATGCAGAAATGAATTCTCAGAATTATCATTGTCTGAATATATAATTAGAAAAGCATCTTCCATTATTGTGAGACACAAGTTAATATATTTTTTCCTGTATTTTTTTTCAAGAAAGATAGCTTTTTTTATACAAAATGAAACAATTCCGAGCCTGGAGTGGAAAGCCATTGCCTCATAGTATTTTGTTTTACTGAATACATGTATTATGCATCTGGGTGCTCTAGGTTATAAATATGCTTTAAGCTTGCTGTAATTTATAAGACCTCACTTTTGGCTGATTTATAGGAAATTTCATTAATCTCTACAACACAGGGACCTTGTGCTGAGCAGATTGAAAATGAACTGAGGGCTGGGGGCTTTAAGAACTACCACAAATGAATCAGTACTGAAATTCCTAAAATGGTAACGATAATTTATAGTGTAAAGGTCTTTTTTCCCCTTACAGTAAGATCTGTAGGATTTTTTAAGAGGTGCCAATGAAACTGCCAACCCTGAAGCTACAGAGATATTTTTCATCATTTAAATGGTTATTCTTATTTCTGTGTTCAGCACACATTTACTAATGAGTGTTTCTCTGGCTAGGGCCAAACAAAAGAGTTGAGGAGGAAATATCTTGAAATTGGATGATGCTGTTTAACGGTAGGGAAGAATTGATGCTCAGCATGTTTCTTTTGTTGGTTTTTTGGTTTTTGTTTTTTTTTTTTTCTTAAATTTGAAACAGGCAAGATCTTGCCCTCACATTTGCATGACCTACTATGTTCAGTATTAAAGCCTTTATTTCTAGTTAAGCTCCAATGCAGGAATCACATTTGTATAGACAAAGATATTCACCCACATAAAACAGGAGTCTCCACTTGCTCTTCATATTATCTGTTGCCTTGTCTTATGTCAAGAAGGTTAACACCTTGAATATTATGATGATTCCTATCTTATTTTTGCATTTTGAGTCCCTTGTCACTTCTTTCAACTCTCCCCCTGAGTTAGAACATTTCTTTTAGGTATCCACTGTGGTTGAACTTATCTGCCATCCAGCTACATGAGTTACCTATTGGAGTAAGCAGGAAAAGCTAGTGTCTGATTTTTTCTTATCTCATTGCCAATTACAGCTCACATACATAGCTGTACAGGAAACAAAATGTTAGAATTTCTATGGCTATTCTTTCTATAGAGTTTCGTGAAATTGGTAGAGTTGATTGAAAGGACTTGAGAAGTCTTTATTTAGAAAGCACACTTCACTGTTTGAGATTAATGTTCTCCTTCTCCCTTCTTTCTTTCTTTCAGGCTATTCAAACTCCAGAAGGACCAACACCAAATAAATTATGAATGTTGAACAAGATGACCTTACATCCACAGCAGATAATGATAGGTCCTAGGTTTAACAGGGCCCTATTTGACCCCCTGCTTGTGGTGCTGTTGGCTCTTCAGCTTCTTGTGGTGGCTGGTTTAGTGAGGGCTCAAACTTGCCCTTCTGTCTGCTCCTGCAGCAATCAGTTTAGTAAAGTGATTTGTGTACGGAAAAATCTGAGAGACGTGCCAGACGGCATCTCCACCAACACCCGGTTGCTCAATCTCCATGAGAACCAGATCCAAATCATTAAAGTTAATAGCTTCAAGCATCTGAGGCACCTAGAAATCCTGCAGCTCAGCAGGAATCACATCAGAACAATTGAAATAGGGGCTTTCAATGGTCTGGCCAATCTCAACACTTTGGAACTCTTTGATAATCGTCTGACCACTATCCCAAATGGGGCTTTTGTATACCTTTCAAAACTGAAGGAACTGTGGTTGAGAAATAACCCCATTGAGAGCATCCCTTCTTATGCTTTTAACAGAATCCCTTCTCTCCGGAGGCTGGATTTGGGGGAATTGAAAAGGCTTTCATATATCTCAGAAGGTGCCTTTGAAGGTCTGTCCAACTTGAGGTATTTGAACCTTGCCATGTGCAATCTTCGAGAGATTCCTAACCTCACTCCACTTGTAAAACTGGATGAGTTAGATCTTTCTGGGAATCACCTGACTGCCATCAGGCCAGGTTCTTTCCAAGGGTTAATGCATCTTCAGAAATTGTGGATGATACAGTCCCAGATTCAAGTGATAGAAAGGAATGCTTTCGATAACCTTCAGTCACTTGTAGAGATCAATCTGGCACACAACAATCTAACACTACTGCCTCATGACCTGTTCACACCACTCCGCCTAGAAAGGATCCACTTGCATCACAATCCTTGGAACTGCAACTGTGATATCCTTTGGCTCAGCTGGTGGATTAAAGACAAGGCACCCTCCAATACTGCATGCTGTGCCCGTTGCCACACACCTCCCAGTTTAAAAGGAAGGTACATTGGGGAGCTGGACCTGAATTACTTCACGTGTTATGCTCCAGTCATAGTGGAGCCACCAGCAGACCTCAACGTCACAGAAGGCATGGCTGCAGAGATGAAATGCCGGGCATCGACCTCCCTGACCTCTGTGTCTTGGATTACTCCAAACGGATCTGTTATGACGCATGGGGCATACAGAGTTCGGATTGCTGTGCTCAGTGACGGCACATTAAATTTTACAAAGGTAACTGTGCAAGACACGGGTTTGTATACATGCATGGTGAGTAACTCTGTCGGGAATACCACAGCTTCTGCCACACTGAATGTGACTGCCCTGGATAACCCTGGTTACACGTACTTTTCAACCGTCACAGTAGAGACTGTGGAACCTCCTCAGGATGAGGCACAGACCACAGAGCAAGTTGGGCCCACACCAGTTACCAACTGGGAGACCACTAACATGACAACCTCACTCACTCCACAGAGCACAAGATCTACAGAAAAAATGTTCACCATTCCTGTGACGGACGCAAACAACGGGATCCCAGGAATAGATGAGGTTATGAAGACTACCAAAATCATAATTGGTTGTTTTGTGGCTATCACTCTCATGGCTGCTGTGATGCTGGTAATTTTCTACAAAATGAGGAAACAGCATCACCGACAGAACCATCATGCTCCTACACGAACTGTAGAGATCATTAATGTGGATGATGAGCTTACAGGTGATACACCCATAGAGAGTCACTTGCCCATGCCAGCAATAGAGCATGAGCACCTAAATCACTATAACTCTTATAAGTCTCCTTTCAACCACACAACAACAGTTAACACAATAAATTCAATACACAGTTCAGTGCATGAACCGTTATTGATCCGAATGAACTCAAAAGACAATGTACAAGAGACTCAAATCTAAAACATTTATGACATTATGGGGTGGGGGTGGGGACAAAAAAAGATGGTTTATAAAACAAATGACACAAATGACTGGGCTAAATCTACTGTTTCAAAAAAGTGTCTTTACAAAGAAAAAGAAATTTATTTATTAAAAATTCTATTGTGATCTAAAGCAGACAAAATTATGTGTATTCCTCAGAACCTGTTTTTGCTGCACTTCTTTACCCTCCTCATTCCCTTTTTCCTCCCCAACCTACCCTGATTCCCATTTGCCATATTTTTCATAGGAGAACTTAATTCCCTAAAAGAACTGGTCTAGGAAATTTTGTAAGAATTCTGTTACACTTTGGGAATTTATATGGTGAATTCTAGTGGTGAGATTCGGTCTATTTTGTCACTTTTTCTCTTTTTTTTTTTTTTTTTTTTTTTTTAATAGAGAATGGAATAATAACCGCAACTTTACAAGAGAGAAAAACAATCAAGCAAAACTTTTTCTTTCCATGTAATGATTTGCTCTGTATTTACCAAAAGGACCGTTCTGTGAAAAAAATTGAAGAAAAAAACAGTAAAAAAGAAAAACAAAAACACAAAACCCAAGAAATTAATTTACTTGTGAAAACCTATAAACCCCATGATCTTTTAAACAATTCTAGAACCAGAATTTGTAGTTCAAACACTAAACTAAGATTATAAATAAAATATTGGTTTTTTCTGTACTTGGATATAGCTCATTTTTAGTATGGCTTTAAACATCAGAAGATGGTTAAAATTCTTATAATATTCTGCTGTGATGGTCCAAAACACAATTGCAAGAGAATAATTAAACCATATTGGATCATTACTGAAGAATAGCATAGTTTTCATTTTAGTTTATGTAAGCAGTATGATGGCAAACAAGGTTGGTTGACTTTTAAAGCAAGATTAAGATTATTCCTTCTAATGGTGTTTTCAATTATCTCTATTATTTATATTGCAAGATGTATTTCACAATGCCAGGAAAAGTTTCACAAGGAGTTGTAGCTATCACTGAATTTATTAGACAAGGCTGAAAAGTTTGTTCTGTTTTCTGTTATTTTTGTCAATAAGAAAATTCGTCTTTATATCCAAGGTAGTGGTTTCCAGTTCAGCTGTTCTGGGATTCCTAGACATAAATATGAAATATGTTTAGCTATCTATAATACCTATAATCAGAGCTGTATCCCTATGTGCAAAATGAACTTTAAAAGCCTATTAACGAAGTAGCTCACAGGACGAAGTCCAAGGATTTAGGTTTATAAAAATAGGAAGAACAAAGTCAGACAAATCAGAGGGAAGTATAGGTCACTGTAATTTGCATCACAATTAGACTCCCTGTAGAGTAACCAGTTTACATTAATTTAAACTCAGACTCATTTACCAATAGGAAATACACACCCTTTTCCTTTCTATTTATATACGTTCTCTGGATTTAGCTTATTGGTGTAGGAATGGTGTATACCTTGTATGCTGAAAGCTTGAAAAGACAGCTTTGCATAAGAAAACCAGCTTCAGGACACTGTGTTCTTCCAAGTAGAAGTTCTGCCAAATTCAACTACTTTATGCATTGGCAACTGAATAGAACCATTTTAAGACGATTTAGGTTAGGAAAAAAGAATTATATGTATCATCTCTGAATGTCTTTTCACCTGTTTTCTTCCTTGACCACCCCTGCTGTGAATTTTCAGGGTCCTGTGCCAGGTAAATAATATTCTTAGTTCTTATCAAAATCTCTCTGGGGCTTTCTAGTATGCAATAGCATGTGGGACGAAGAGTCGACTGAACAGTATACTTCTATTCTGTAAATTTAAGAAGAAATTTCTGCCAGGTTATGGGGGTAAATATCTCCTGTTGGATGCACAGTTCTCAAGGTTGCAAGTGAATATTGTAGTAAGAAGGCCTGATTTAAAGAGGACACTGTGGAGATAGGTAACGATGAATCACACCCTGCAAGGAGTCTGATAAGTATAACACAGAATGAAACCCAAAGTTCTATAATAATCTCAAAGAAACATTTGGCAAGACATTATCCTTTGATGTACTACATGAAAAATAATATCTACTCTAAGGGAATTTTAATAGAGGACAAAGATGGACCTGAATCTAAAATGCTGCAGTCGTGATTCCAAGGTTTGCCTATTCCTCCGAAGTGCATTAGAGCTCTTTGGTGATTTCTTTGAAGCATTGTGATGGAGTCTATGCAGAGACACTGCAATTACACATAGCTATTTGTACTTTGCCCATCTGGCTAGTAACATTGTGTCAATGACCAGTGTTTATCTGAAAATTGAAAAAATATTGCCAGGAAACCTACATCTGAGCCATCTGTAATCAATGGGTTTATGTTAAAAAACTACAGCCACTCTCTAAAAAGTATTTATGAAAGCACTTATGGTCAACATGGTTTTATAAACAGGTAGTTTTCAGCTGCTCCTAAAGGTTGTGCATAGGAGGCTGTTAGGAGAAAAGGTATATCTATTGCTGAGTGGGACAATGGGGCAATGACAATCCTTATTCCTCTTTGGAGTAATACAAAACAATATCAGAGACTGTTTTAAACAATATATACATTCTTACTGAGTTAATCTGATTTTATTAGCGCATCGAAAAAAATCGGATATTCCTGCTTGCTCGTAATAAGCATAAAGAAAAAACGTTTTGGTATGTTTGGTTGGGTGAGTACGTATGTGTTACATGGAAACGGTACTAGTTATGATTTTCCCAGTATCTTCCCTACCCTTGGAAATGGTACTAGTTATGATTTTCCCAGTATCTTCCCTACCCTTCTTGGAACCATAGAGATTATTTCTGACTCCTTCCTACTTCTGTAAAACACCCAGTACTTTTGCAGATTAATTAAATACCAGAGTTAGAGAACTTCACAGTTTAAATTATGAACTGAGCTCTGCAATGAAGTGAGAGGAATGCTGTGCTGTCTTGTCTTGGTGCTCAAATCACATACCAAGGCAGCACATTACTGCTCCAGAGACTACAACATTAAGAATTAAGCCTGGGTCTCCTATATGGCAGAGCTCAACTGGTAGAAAGCTCTAATGAAATTTCTCCTGCAGGTGACCACATTGTAGGTGGTGTGTAATGTAAAAAAATTGTGAAAACCCCCCTGTGATCTTGATTATGAGCTATCATTTTCTAGTGATCCTGAGAAAGGATGAATTATTCTTCAGTTTATTTGATGGATTTTAAATATATTTTCCTGCTGTCCTGTATAAATACAAAGTGGAAGGTACTTTCTTTCTGGAATAGTCATAAAATCTTACAAATCTTGCCATATGCAGAAATAACATGTGAAAAACAAAGCAAGTGAGTTCCATTCAATTCACCATACAAGATGGACATTTTATTTTGCTTTGAAAAGGGCTAAATGTATTAAAATTATTACAGCAATTGTATTTTTTGCTAAAATATCCTAATGCATTAAAAATTACATGTAATGGCTTCAAGATTCCCTGTCCCCACTGATGACATTATAGGTTGATAACAGCATTAGAGAAAAGATAACTAAATTAATATTGTACTTAGTTGTACTAGCTTCATATTCTTGTGAAAAATATTTCATAACAGCTGTTACAGGCTTTTATATGTCAGATATGACCATTACTATAGTCTTTTAAATGAGAAGAATGGAAAATCTTTTCAACCTTTTCGCCCTTCTCTAAAGTTTATACTCCAGATTTTACATGAGCTAAGTACAGAAATTTTTTAATTTTTGCTTTTTTTCTAAGTCCAGGTGGTGAAAGTCTATGAAATGTCAGGAGATACCTTGCAATTTCATACCAAAAGAAGTAAATGAAGAAATAAATTATCCTTATCTTCAAGATATAATCAGAAGAGTTAGACTTCAGTGTCTGTTATGCATATTTTTCTCATTTTTGCAGGCGTTGCCAAAAAAAAAGAATCTTATTTCAAACTTGCATCTAAAATTCAATTTACAGTTTGTCTGAAGGTAGTGCTGGACATTTTATTATGGTGGTGGTATTATATATTAGTATTGTAGTAGACTAACGCCCAGAGCCATCCCTACTGAAACAGGAAAGGTTCTTGAGCAGGGGATGGGCTTGGGGACATTCTGGGAAATCTATCCAGTATATCTGCAATTTATGATGGCCCTGCAGCCTCACTCTGTGGTGGTGCCCTGTGGAAACACTGTGGTTGTGAGCAGTTTGTGGTTGAAGGAACATAGCAGGGCAAAAGAGCTTTGGTTTGGCAACAAGTTATTTGGCTGTTCTCCACTGAAAAGCAGAGGTACGGAATAAACAGGGGTTAATAGCTCAGCTTCAGACATGCGGTGTATGACTAGAAATGAGGGAATTTTATTTTTTTTTATTTACCACATTTAATCACAAGTAGTTTTTATGGCTTAGCGCATGCTAAACAATTGAAAACTTGAAGAATAAAAAAAAGTCACAGATCTGTAGTGTCAGTTTTACACAAAAGGTGTAAAATGACCTTTACAAGGTCATATTTTGACAAAATGCTAATGCTGATTTGACGGGGTCTGGGAAGTTTTTTTCAGTATTAACTCTATTAAGACAAATGAGATCTGTATTTCAATAGCTACATGCTATTTACTTCAACAAGTCATGATTTTCTCAGGTGATATCTGTTAAAAAAAAAACCACTGGCTTTAATTTGTCGTGATTTGTCTCCTTGCCTTTATACACTTGTAACTTACAACTAGACTGTCTGCTAATTAGAGTGCTCTCTAAAGGGCTGTATCCGTGAACCCTAACTTACTTTCATGAGAGACACATCTTGCCTATACTGTAACTCCAGTGACGTATGGAATGTTGGAATAAGGAGGAGACACTGAAATTATGACATCATCAGATGAAATGGCTATCTTTTGTAAAATCACAAAGAGGAAAATAAAGTCTGTCACTTTTGAGGACTTTGAAAACCAAATCTTATGTAAAAATAGGAAACCCTAGTAAAAAATTAGAAGAATTTAGAACATTATTGGTCTTGAAAGAAACAATAAGATGTAATAATTAAAGCAAGAAGTGGGAGTCATATATCCCAGATAATCTTTACACCTTTTTTAAGAACACAATTTCCAAACTCTTAAAATTGGAGTTACTTTTCTATGTATCATTTGGCTTGTGCAAGGATTCTGGTTGTCCTATCTGTAGTTTGTTGGTTTCTTCTTAAATTTTGCAGTATGTGTATGATGTAATTTGGGCTTTCAGCTCTGGAACAGTTTCCCAGACAGAGCATCAAGGGAATTCTCTGCTAAATCATCCAAACTTCACCCGTTGGAGTTTCATGTTTAATAATCTGGGACTTTTTTCAGTCTACTTGAAACGGCTTGTGCAGTGAAAGATTCCTTAATTTCTTTGTTCCTCTACTACAATAGCAATATATGATTCATAGCTTAGTTTGACACAGGTGGTTTTGCATGGATTATACTTTAATCAAATTAAAAATATAAATTGCAATTGTATTTTATTTTAGTAAAAATTTTTGAAATCTGTTGACTTGAAAACTACTTCTGTTCCTTTCACAATAGCTCTACATTACCAAAAAAAAGAAAAAAAAATAAAAAGAGAAACTATGTCTTGGAATGCTATGCATGCACACATGTTACTGAAGAACCGGTTGATAGCAAAATCAGTAACACACGTGTCTGTATATGTGTATTGCTTAAAAAGTGATTCTACAGGTGAGATTAAAGGATTCAAAGAAGAAATTTATGGAGAAGG